ACAACGTGACAGGACAACAAGGTAATGAGTAATTGAACTGCAGTCAGAGAATGTGTAATTGAACTGAGTATTGTCGAGCACGTGAGACGTTCTTTGAGAACTATAGCGTTTGTTATAGAGCGACTGTTGAAATTAAGTGTATCGGTAAAGTTGTATTCGGAAAGAATAAACCAGTTTTATTTAAGAAAGGACTTGTGTCGCTAAAGTTTCGTTGGAACGAATTTACGGAAAATTAATTAACTAACGAACGGAGACGTAACAAATATATTAATGAAAAAACCTCTTTATACCTTCCACTAGTTAGGAGTTTTATCTATAAGAAAACACTAATTATAAAACGCATTACAAAAACTATTTTAATATTAACAAGATGTAGAATGATTTTACCATCTTTATTTTTTAAATACCATTTTCTTTCCAATGTATGGTTCTTTGGTGGGACAGCGATAAGTTTATGGATTCACAAGCTAAAATCCGGTGTTCGATTCCCCGCGATGGTAGTCCAGTGTGGCTTTGCTCTAAAACCAAACAAACCGAATGAATGAGTTCTTGGTTTTGTCCACATACCTGAGATACAGGTGTTTAATGGTATGTAGAGTTTTAATTTCGAGACGAACACTACTAATCTAAATTAATAGTGGATTTGACATAATATAAAAAATAACATAATTATTTTTTTAGATTGTTTTAATATGTAGAAAGTAATACTTATAGCTAAATGTTTATTCTAATTGTCAATGAGTCGATCATGGACTGCTGCTTGGCGTCAATAACGTGCAGAACTATGAATCCGAAGGTCCTTTGCTCTTGTTCCGTTACCGAAAAATTACGCTCAGTGCTTTGGAGGTCGTGGATGTGTAATGAGAGTGAGAGTAAAATTCTGCTATTTGGTCTGACAAGAATTGGCAGCGGGGTTGTTGACTAGCTGTCTTCCTTTCCTCTTGGTCTATCAGTTCAAAATTAGGGACAGCTTGCATGGATAGCCTTTTGGATATTATTCGCGCGAATATCCGAAACAATCAAACATGCAACCACCTTTTTACTTTAACAAAACGAAAAAGTATTCTGCGATTCTTTCCAGGTTTTATTTTAGCACATAATTTTTTTTTTTGCGTTTCTACATGTTGTTTGTTTATAAACATAGGCGCGTTGCTTAAAACTAAAAGTTAAAATAAACATAAAATAGATTGTAACCATACTTGTATGCGGGTTATAAAAGAAATGTGTAACATCTTATGTTTTAATTGAGGTAGTACGAAGTTTTAAACAGTGCTACATTTTATGTTTATCTCATATTTGTCATTAATTTCTGTATCTTGTAACTCCTATCTTTGTAAGTTTGTTTTAAAACTAAAAGTGCTACTACAACTTGTAATTGTATTATTAGGCCTACTGTACTAATACTTTTTCTATTAATATTACTATTAGGTCGTTGCTATTGCCACCGACTTACTGCTACAAAAAAACTATTTTGGTATTTACACCGACATAAATTAATTCATCGCGCCTGACTACCTCCAGTATTTCCACCTTGTCGGTGCCAATAGCCACATTGTTACTGTTATTATTATTAACACTAGTGTTAACGAATTGTAGGATGTAAGAAAAATCATGTTATTGATATTAGCAGTGCATAAGAATAAGAGTTATATGTAGTTGTAACTGCGATTCATAATACTAATACTAATGATTACTAGCTACTCTTGCACACTGGGACTGGGAGAGATGCTGGAACTTGGAAGATAAATTTTTGCTTTAACTTTTAGTTTTAAATTTCAGAAAGTGGTTTGCACAAATTGGGAGTAAAGTAATTATTTGTAAAATATTTTTTAAAGTTTAAAACAATAAAGTTAAAATAGCAACTTCTTTTATGATTAAAATTATCTAGACTAGCAAAATTACAATCTAATTACACTGAATTATGTGTCTAATTAATTAATTATTTTTCCATATTGAGATGCTCATTACCAGTACCACAAGGTCAGTCTTTGCTAGGAGTAGGATAGAAAAATGAAGTTGAAATTTGAAATATGTCAAATTTACTTATAACCTAAAAGCTATAGCCTAAATGAAATATGTCAGATTTACTTATAACCTAAAAACTATAGCCTAAATGAAATATGTCAAATTTACTTACAACCTAAAAGCTATAGCCTAAATGAAATATGTCAGATTTACTTATAACCTAAAAGTTTTAGCCTAAATGAAATATGTCAGATTTACTAATAACCTGAAAGCTATAGCCTAAATGAAATATGTCAGATTTACTTATAACCTAAAAGCTATAGCCTAAATGAAATATGTCAAATTTACTTACAACCTAAAAGCTATAGCCTAAATGAAATATGTCAGATTTACTTATAACCTAAAAGCTATAGCCTAAATGAAATATGTCAAATTTACTTACAACCTAAAAGCTATAGCCTAAATGTTTTTTTTGTTTATGTTATGGTTGCAAGCTAATGGCCAAAGTATGATTTTAGTGTTGAACTCATAGAATTTTAAGCAGTTTATAGAGAAACTTATTGTTTTGTAAAGCTACCATACATTTGTTGTCTTCCTTTTGAAGCTTTCTTACACCATTTGTTATGCCTATTAGATAAACTTTATAGAAATTATGAAGTTATGGGAATGTGGAAGAGTACTGGGTAGTTTTAAAGAAATTAATGAGAATCAAACTGTTAAAAAGTTGATGTTTTGAAGGTTAACTTATTTGTTTCTGGTTTCTAAATTAAAATTAGTTAATTTCCTACATTTCTTTTTAATGTAAAGTTAAAAATAATGAATTTTATATAAACTCAATGTTAATTTCTTACATCTACACCTGTAATATGTATATAAGCAGGAATCACAAAACATCTCATTACGAGTTTGATAATGTAAAAAAGGTCATTAAGTTTTGAGTAAGTGTGGATCTTATTTGTGATTTATATTCAGTTAATTACAACTTGTACATGTGGGAATTATTGTTAATTGGTGAATTGAAAACATCAGTATAATCTATACAAGAGAGAAGACTTTTAATTTTGTGTATCAGGTACACATTTTGTCATTGGTTAATATTATCTTACAGGTAGTGTCATGCTCGCTGTTTCAGTTATCCTTTTTGAGTTTGGTAAGCCTATTTTTCAAGTGTTACTTTACTGAAGAAAAGCATGCAAAGAAGACATAGACAATATGGAGCAACAGGTTTTGAAACATGGGTAAGTTTATATGATACTTGTGATACATGATTTTTTTAAAACTTTGCTTTTTATTTCATATTTTGAGGTTTTAATATTTCGTGGATTCATTGTTCTCAGGTCATAGTGTTTGATTTTCTTATTCTAGGGTGGATATATGGCTGCTAAGAAACAGAAACTGGCTGAACAGTTCATTACTAAAGCTCATCATGAACTTGAAAATTTGGACACTTGTAAAGATGAAACATCAAAAATATTTGAGGGGGTTGCAATATTTGTGAATGGATATACAAGTAAGTATTTTATCTCGTCCTAAACCTAGCTCTGTAGACTTCAGACAGATTGTGGGTTCCATACCTGAGTTCTAGAGCTGCTACCTGTCGTCTGCTTTCTGCTCCTCTGTCCATCCATTCATCTCTGCCAGGAGCTCAAATTGTGCTGTATATGCTTCCCACGGTGCCTTCCCATCGAATTCCTGTGGCTTCCTTCGTACTAGATTACCCCTATTGCTGACATTGCTGACTGAAAATGTCTGCATTAGGGTTTAGCTGCGGGGTCTGGAAGGGGCTTGCCGTGGTCTGGGGCTGATTAAGTCGATGGCTGATATATCCTCCTTGTGTAAAAGACAATAAATCATCCTTTAATGCATTTAATTCACTTTGAAATTTACTAATGTTTTCCATTTGTGTACTCTGGCTTTCTCTCAATTGTTGGAGACTTTCTTCTTGTTTATTTACTTTCTCCTCCAACCACTGCTGTAGTATTTCTTCTTGTTCATTTTTTTTCTCTTCCAACCACTGCTGTAGTCTCACTTCTTGTTTATTTTCTTTCTCCTCCTACCACTGCTGTAGTCTCTCTTCTTGTTTCTTTTCTTGCTCTTCTTGTTTCTTTTCTCTTTCCTCCAACAACTGCTGTAATCTCTCTTGTTTATTTTGCTGTTCAAGCTGCCACTGTTGCAGGTTTTCTTGCTACTACTGTTGCCTCTCTTCTTGTTTCTTTTGCTGTTCTTGTATTGCTGCCATCAAATCTTCTAAGCCGTAGTTTGATTTGCCGCCTCTCGTTTCCATCTTCTTCTTTTTTTTATTTTTATTTTCTGTCCCACTCTCTGACACCAATTTGTTAGTCTGTGTTCGTTTGTTAATTTTTCGTTGAAATTCTTTCCAAGAAAATTCAGCGATACAAGTCTTTTCTTAAATAAAACTAGTTTATTCTTTCTTAATTCAACTTTCCAATACACTTAATTTCCACAGTCACTTTAGATTCAACACACCCTATAATTCACAATGAATGATTCAAGCACTTTTCGTACAGTCACTACTATGCTTGACTCAATTGTCTGTCTCTGCCTGTCTGCAATTCTATTCTTGCCGTCACTTTATTTGCTGGCTTCGTGAATCTTCTAGATACTCATCACATGTTACTAGCATCACGTGACTTCCGCTGTCGCACCAATATCATCTGTAACCTATCTGTTTTACATTAAAAGGATATCATTGCTAACCTAGCTGTTTAATGTTAAAAGAATATCATTTTTAACCTAGCTATTTAATGTTAAAGGATATAATTGTTAATCTAGTTTTTAATGTTAAAAGGATATCATTGCTAACCTAGCTGTTTAATGTTAAAAGAATATCATTTTTAACCTAGCTATTTAATGTTAAAGGATATAATTGTTAATCTAGTTTTTAATGTTAAAAGGATATCATTGTTAAGCTAGCTTTACATTAAAATGATGTCATTGCTAATCTAGTTTTATATTAAAAGAATATCATTGCTAACCTAGTTTTATTGTTAAAAGCATATCATTGTTAACCTAGTTTTACATTAAAAGGATATCATTACTAATCTAGTTTTTTATGAAAAGGATATCATTGCTAACCTAGTTTTATTGTTGAAAAGATATCATTCCTGACTTAGCTTTTTAGTGTTAAAAGGATATCATTTCTAACCTAGCTGTTTAATATTAAAAGGATGTCATTGCTAACCTAGTTATTTAATGTTGAAAGGATGTCATTGTTAACCCAGTTTTACATTAAAAGGATATCATTGGTAACCTAGCTGTTTAATATCAAAAGGATATCATTGCTAACTTAGCTGTTTAATGATAAAAGGATATCATTGCTAACCTAGCTGTTTAATGTTAAAAGGATGTCATTGTTAACATAGTTTTTAATGTTAAAAGGATGTCATTGTTAACATAGTTTTTATGTTAAAAGAATGTCATTGTTAGCCTAGTTTTACATTAAAACAACATCATTGCTAACTTGGCTGTTTAATGTTAAAAGGATGTCATTGTTAACATAGTTTTTAATGTTAAAAGGATGTCATTGTTAACATAGTTTTAATGTTAAAAGAATGTCATTGTTAGCCTAGTTTTACATTAAAACAACATCATTGCTAACTTGGCTGTTTAATGTTAAAAGGATGTCATTGTTAACATAGTTTTTAATGTTAAAAGAATATTTCTACCCTAGTTGTTTAATGTTAAAAGAATATCATTGCTAACCTAGCTGTTTAATGCTAAAAGAATATCATTGCTAACCTAGCTGTTTAATGCTAAAAGAATATCATTGCTAACCTAGCTGTTTAATGACGAAAGGATATCATTGCTAACCAAGTTATTTAATGAGAAAAATATATCAATACTAACCTAGTTTTTAGTATTAAAAGGATATCATTGTTAACCTAGTTTTACATTAAAGGGATATCATTGCTAACTAAGCTGTTTAATGTCAAAAGAATATGGTGAAAATGTTACTCATGTGGAAAGTTTGATCGTTTTATTTCTATAATGCCCATAACTTAAACAAAAGTTGTTGTATTAATAAAAGTACACATACCATCAAAACATTATACATCAGCTCCTTCTATGCACTTAAACAGACCATTAAGGGTTTAGATTTCGTCGCTGTGTTGCTTCAGTAAAATGTACGGAAAACCTAGTGTATAATATGTAAAAATAAGGGTTTTGGTACAATAAGTATAAAACAAAATATTTGCTAATATTTACACCTCCCCTCCCCAAAGTGTATGTTTAATAGCAGTGTTAAAAAAATTGTAACTGATGATAACGCTCTCTCTTTCCTGCAACTTTCTGTTACAGTTGAAGGTCCATATTTATTTTTGTATTGAACTGTTAGTGTTACTTTGTTTTGTCATTTCGCTGTTGATTTATTGTTATGTTTATTATATATATTTTTAAATAATCAATAGTTTCATGTAAAAAGTCTCTTATTGTTAAACTGCTTGGAAAATTGACTGTAAATAAAGTGTTTTACTTAATTCAGCTGCAGTTCTTCTAATTGGCTTCAAGAGGGTGGTCTTGTAATGCAAGGTTACTTTATGTAGGTATACGAGTATTGCTTGTAGCATCAATTGTGTGTGTATGTGAATAAAAGATGTATGTTTTTATTTAAATTATAAAATCATGATTAATATTCAATATACCATTTTTAAATTACATGTGAATGTTGTATTTCATTTACATGGATTATCTGTAAAATGACAGGGGTTTTAATCAAGTGTAAACTTGTATTTATGATGACATCATAAGTAAATTATGGAAATTAGCACTATTGAAGGTTTGAATTTTTATTCAATAACGTGCTCTGAACCTTCGAAGGTCAAAATCTACCTTTTGTTACAACCCCACTTTCATGTGGATTTATTGCAATTCCATGATAATGGAGATGTGTTTTCTACACAATATCTTTCTTTAAGATCTTAATTTTCCTAAATAGTATGCTCAAGAATGTTGTCACTTTTCTCTATTTTAAGAACCCATTGGAATTTACTGAGAATGAAATTAAATTAAAAGTAAAGGTGTAATATTTGAACCTCTCGATGAGAGCATACATCATTCTGGAAGTGTAAATATTACAGCAGATATTCACACTCTTTTACTTATACTTTACTTATATATAACATAGCTAAACACGATGATAACATCAGTTACTTTTATTTTATAGGACATTTCTTTGAGTAAAAAACATAAATTTTGTAGGTAACAGATTTACACTGTACAAATGTAGGTTATAAGTTACAAACAAAATTTGAGCAGTGACAATGAAGAGTAAATAAATTGAAATTTAATGAAAAGTAAGTGACACAAAAGATTTATTGGTGTAAGACAAATTTACTAAATCTAAACACAACTTGTTCTATAGTAGGTAACTTTGTTTATATGATACTGAATATATACAAGTGCATTACTTGCAGAAGCCCACAATGCTTTACATATTTATATGTTCACGTGTCTTAGTCAAACTTAATATGTAGTTTGATGATGAGGATGTTAATTATTTATATTGGTTGTTTTTCTTTAGTTTAATCTTAGCAGCAATATAATAGTCACATGAAATATAAGTTTGTCAGCAAGTTGACAATATTACTTTGTGAATAATTATTTTGTTTGTTTGTTCACAAGTTTTCCTTTACTGCCCATGTTCAATTCATTCATCACGTAGCAATCTTGAACCTGTGTTTTTGTGATACATCAGTTTACCTGAATACCACAGACTAATTTTGGTGCCATATCCAAAGGATTTGTTCATTGCAGAGTTTATTTTGGTACTGTAAACATGGATAATTCCTTCCTAAGACCATGTAGATCTTATGTAGGGAGCTAATGTTGAAATGAGAACTTGATCTAAGAATGTGGCAAGGATTAGGAGATGCACTCTCTTAAACCTGTATCTTTTGCCAGCAGAGCTATGTTCTTATTCTCAATCTGTCACAGACCGTGAGGCTGGAAGATGCCATACTGGGCAGTTCCAGCCATCCCTGATGCAAACTGTAATGGGTATTTACCATGGTTTGGAAAATAGGGTAGTAGAGAAAGGTCATGGTAGTGTTGAGCAACCTGAAGGTTGTGAGACTTTCTGGGGGTGTTCTCTATGATGTTTCAAGGTGCTTGTTACTAAGCCAAGGCATTACAAGATGCTCGTTTGAGCTGTCTGTGGCTGAGGAGATATGTGCTCTGGATGAATTTTGATATGTTTCATCACAATGCCATCAGGTGGAATCTCTTTACAAATCAGTGCTTGTATAAACTTTCTGAGTAAATTCGTGATCTTGCAGGTAAGTTGGTGTGACTTTTTATTTCATTGCTATACAGAATTGGGTCTTATGGTCTTGTTGATGTATACCAGTCTTCTTGAAGTAATTTAAGGGAGTTACCTGATATTCTGATTGATATATCTGTCTTTATGAAGTATATAAGGGAGTTATCTGATATTCTAATTGATATACAGTATACCAGTCTTCTTGAAGTACAGTAAGGGAGTTGTCTGATATTCCAATTGATATATACCAGTCTTCTTGAATTGCAGTGAGAGTTATCTAATACCAGTCTTCTTGAATTGTAGTGAGAGTTATCTAATACCAGTCTTCTTGAATTGTAGTGAGAGTTATCCGATATTCTGGTTGATATGTACAAGTCTTCAGGCTTTTGAAACTCTTTGCAGTTTGTCAGGCTTTGTATAATTTGCATACAGTTTTGTGGGGCAAGTCACTTATGATTCATTTTGACAATTCGACTGTTGTCACATCAGTGAACAAGGGAGCACCCATTCACATTCCCTTTGTTTTCAAATGTTAGATCTCCTTTTCTGGGAGCATACTCATTGTATTCACATTTTGGCTTGCCACATCCTGGGTGCTCTCAATGTTGTTGTGGATCATTTATTTCATCCCAACAAGATTCTTCCCATGAAGTGGTCCCTCAATTCTCAGGTCTTCCAGTGGCTATGTTCACATTGGGGCACTCTTCTGATGAATGCATTTTCCACTCACCTCAGTGCCAAATTTCCTCTGTTCTGGTTTCCAGTTCCACATCTTTTGGTTTTTGCTGTTGATGCCTATAGTCAGGATTGGACCAACCTTTACTTTTATGCCTACCCTCCTATCCATCTCCTTCCCAGGGTTTTGTCTATCATTCACACCACTATGTATTGAGTTCTTCTCATTGTTTTACTCTAGCCTGCTCAACCATGGTTCGTGTTACTGCAACCATTTCAGTCGTCACCTCTATTACCTCTTCCTCCATCCATGTCCCTCCTCCCCCAACCTCACTTGTCTGTGTTTCACCATGCTGTTCTCATACTCCAGCTTCAAGTGTGGCTTTTGTCAAGTCCATTGCAAGCTAATCCGTACTCTCCACATGTGTAGCATCCATTTCCAACTTGGTCCACCTTTCTTCCCTGATGATTTATCAGAGGAACTGGCAAATCTTTTGCTGTTGTTCTGTATGACATGGTTTCCTTCCCTCCTGTTTCTGTATCCCTCATCTTTCTGGTTTCTTCACGTGGCTGTTTAAAAATGGTTTTTCTGTATTGACCATTGCAGGCTATAGCACAGCCTTGTCTTACACCTTTAATTTTTTCAGCTTCCACCATGTGTTTCCCTCTTCCATTTTCTCTCATATGTTTTGATCCTTTTGTCTCTTTTTGTCCTTCTTATTCCACACCCTTCTCAGATTGGAATTTTAATGTCATTATGCATGCTGTTACAATCTTCCTCTATTTGAACTATGCTGCACACTTTTGTCACTCATTATCTACATCATTTGGCCATTTTCTCATTAACTAGATACCGTCTGTCTCTTATTGGTGTCTTGCACTCTTTAATTTGACTGCGAGTGGGTAAATTTTTCCTCTTCATTTCCTTTGAATTTACAGTAATCCTTTACTTCAGGTTGGATCCCGCTCTGTGTCAAGTGGTGGACCAGCCATCAAATATGCACCGTATGACCTTTAACTCCATAGCATGTTACTGAGCTACATTTAAAATTTGATTAAACCACTTTACTATAAATGTATTTTAATGAAATTATTACTATCAAGTACATTATAATTTAAAGTTTTATATTATCTAAGTTTTATTCCTTTATTTTAAAAATAAACATCTAAAACAACAATTCAAACTGCAGTTTTTTTGCTGTCATGTGATCTGCTTGTGGTTACAATTCTCAAATTTTAAGAGCTCTTATACAAGAAACTGTGAATACCTAACATAGACTGTTAGTTCAGATAGTCAAAGTACACTAAACAGATATTTCATTAACGTCTGGAAACTTTCCAAGAGTTTCTTCCCACATGAAACGTAAATTTTTTCTAAGTTTAAGGTCAGCCACACACACACCTGCAAAGTCAAAGCTGTCTTGCTAAGCGACAGTTTACAATCTTTTCATGTGTAGCTGAGTACTACAAGGTTTTACAATCTTTTCATGTGTAGCTGAGTACTACAAAGTTTTACAATCTTTTCATGTGTAGCTGAGTACTACAAGGTTTTACAATCTTTTCATGTGTAGCTGAGTACTACAAGGTTTTACAATCTTTCCATATGTAGCTGAGTACTATAAGGTTTTACAATCTTTTCATGTGTAGCTGATTACTATAAGGTTTTATAGTCTTTTCATGTGTAGCTGAGTACTACAAGGTTTTACAATCTTTTCATGTGTAGCTGAGTACTACAAGGTTTTACAATCTTTTCATGTGTAGCTGAGTACTACAAGGTTTTACAATCTTTTCATGTGTAGCTGAGTACTACAAGGTTTTACAGTCTTTTCATGTGTAGCTGATTACTATAAGGTTTTACAATCTTTTCATGTGTAGCTGATTACTATAAGATTTTATAGTCTTTTTATGTGTAGCTGAGTACTATAAGGTTTTATAATCTTTTCATGTGTAGCTGAGTACTATAAGGTTTTATAGTATTTTCATGTGTAGCTGAGTACTATAAGGTTTTATAGTCTTTTCATGTGTAGCTGAGTACTATAAGGTTTTATAATCTTTTCATGTGTAGCTGAGTACTATAAGGTTTTATAGTATTTTCATGTGTAGCTGAGTACTATAAGGTTTTATAGTCTTTTCATGTGTAGCTGAGTACTATAAGGTTTTACAATCTTTTCATGTGTAGTTGAGTACTATAAGGTTTTACAGTCTTTTTATGTGTAGTCGAGTACTATAAATTTTGATTGTTGTTTCATGTGTAGCCGAATACTACCATGAAGTTTTCTTTGTCTTTTCACGTGTAACTGAATATTACATTAAGTTTTTATTTTCCTTTTATGTGTATCTGAACACTACCATCATATTACCATTAAATTTTCAGTATCCTCTTATGTGTAGCAAAATACTTCCATTATACTGCCATTAAGTTTTCAGTGTTCACTTTTGTAGCTGAATATCAACAGTGCAAATAACAGATCAAGTCCCTGTTTCTCTTTTGTAAATTTCAATTTGAAGATGATGATAAAGAAGTTTTAATGAAATATAAACTATTATTTAAGAAAAGTCTGTGTCTGCTTATAAATGTGCAACAGTTGGACCAGTTGTCACCAATCCTGGCTTGAACCTTAAGAGTAACCTGGTGAGTGACTTTGGGGGCATCAACATTTGGATCTGTCCATTCTATATCACTTAAGAGGGTCCCTTTGCTTTCCCATGTGTTGAATGGTTATATCAGCTAGTCACCAGTGATATGTTATGTACATTGTGCTGTTAAAGTAAGTTATATACTTTTTAAATACTAAAAGTTAAGTTTAAAAATAAGTGGCATTATCCATTCAGTAGCTTAAGTAAAGACTGCACCCCTTTCTGCTCCTTACATGTGAAAATCCATATTGTTGTTTAAGTATAGATTTCACCCTTTCCACTTCTGAATAATAAACACTTTTAAAAGTGCTTGTACTTCTGGTGAGATTATTTTTCATTACGATATGAATGGCAGAAGTTGGTTAAAAATGCTTGCTTCTTGAATTTTGTTGTTGAATGACTTAGAATTCTTCATTTTTATTTGGAAATATTTTACCTAATTATGAGCACATAGATGGTTCTAAGTTTTTGATCCCCAAATTGTAAGAAAGTTCTTAATATTACGTACAGTTCATTTATTGTTTCTAAGATTTGAATGTGGATCATTTTGTATGTCTTGAACTCTGAATCTTGTTTAATCTAGATCCCACTGCTGGTGAACTGAAGAGACTGATGATGATGCATGGGGGTACCTATCACCACTACTACAAACGTCACCAAACAACCCATATTATAGCTACAAACTTACCTGATAGTAAAGTTAGGGAGTTGAAGGAGGAGAAGGTAGTGAAGCCTGAATGGATTACTGAAAGGTACATGTATAAAGTAGCCTTAGTATACTCAATTACTGATGCCTATGTATGATGTGAAATATAAACTGTGACAAGGTGAATGATTTGCAGTAAAACAAACCGTTAAGTTGAAAAAAGTTATATGAAACCCTCGTCATAAATCTCTTCTTATTCTTGATGTGGATTCCTCTACCCGATGAGGCTACTTCCGAGGAAAGGTTCAAATTGTACAGTTTACCTTATTTGGGTTCCAAACATTCATCCACACATGTATTTTAATAGTATATAAATTTTAAGTCAGTATTAGAAAAAAATCCTGAATTTCTCCTAATATAAGAATTATGAAATTTGTTTGTCTAGGCACCCTCTTCTCTAATTTATTTACCACCCCTCCAAGAAGTATGAAATTTAATGTAAACTACTTATTATATTGTTGTTGTCATCATCATTCAGATAAAGCATAATTTTCATAGTTTTCAATTGTACTTAGTTACAGAGCAATAAAATTAGACCTTTCTTGCCATGCCCACCTGTCACAACCTCTCTTTAAGAAATTGCCAGTAGTTCTCTCTAATGATTATTGCTATATTATTCATAACTAACGGAAAGCTAAGGTTTTACTCTATCAAATGACATATTATATTACATTGTTTTCTCTACAGAGAATTTTCAGTTTTACTTCTAGTTCAAACTTTATTCTCATGGGAAACACATTGACAAGTCTTGCTGCATTTTAACAGATCTTGTAACATTTTTTGAAAGCCAGAAAAATTGTTATAGTTATTGGACATTATCTGCTTTTGCATGTGATTATTATGTGTTCTTTGGTGCATTATTTAATAAAATTATTTAGTGCATTAGTATCATTTGTATAAAAAAAATAGGGTTAAGTGTTATCAACTGTCGACAGCAAAAACAGAAAAAAAAGACCCAGGTAAATGCTTTATTTCTTGTTTTTCATGTGTAATATTTATTTGTTATTATAAAAGTAACTAAAATGTAAGAATTGGAAATTTTTTAGGTTAGTTAAGGAATGATATAATTTTTCATGAGGTTTGCTCATAAGCAGCTTGCAAGTGGTCCATACATTACATAATTTGATACTGTAATGTGAGCTGCACATTCACCTCATCATTTACAACTGATATGATTATTAGTTAGACATGGTTCAAAGGGCAATAAAACAATAACATGTACATATAAGTAGATGTATACTGTTACATGTCTAAAGGTATTTAGGATAAACACGTAGTTTCATGTTACAATTTGAAGTCATTCTAGAAAGTAAAAAAGGGTAATTAAGATTTATTTCAAACTCTCTTTTTTTTTTTTTTAGTGGTTATGAGGTTAGTCAATTTGACCAACCTTGTATTGAGTTAGGGTAGAGAAAATAATAGATAAAATATAAAGTTTTACAGAAAAAAAGTTTGAAATTTATTTAGGAGGTTTTTAGAAATTACACAAATGAAGTTTGGGATTTTTAAGATGATGAAAAATATTTTTAATTTTAACATGAAAATCACTTTGCACTTGGACTAATGAAAAAAAAACTCAGTATATTCACAGAGAAATCTTTATTAAAAATACTTCATTAAAAAATCAGATTTTTGTGTACAAAAAACTTGTAATGTTTACTGAAAGTCTCCTACATTTTGTGAAGATACACATACTGTATTAAAAGTTATATTATGGAAGCTATAATGAGTACAAAATGGTTACAAACTCAGTCAATTCTACTGACCCCATGGCGAGAGAGTTAAAACACCCTCACTGTCCACTGGGCCCATGAAAATAACTCTGGATTTCTGCCTATAAACATGGGAAATGTGAGCTGACCAGACTTTGCATTATCACATTTCTTATCCCATACTCCCTGCCACTGTCAATACAGAATATTTTTGTAAACTGCTTAGATGTTTCAACACCCAGCTACTTGGCTATTCTAAGACCTTTCACAGATCACCATCATATACCTGTTGTGTTGGTGGGGCTAAATAGTGCCATAAGTACTTTGGATTCTTGCTGTACAAACTGCTTGAGCTTACATCCCTCATGTTTTTGATAGTGCCCTGTATAAAATGTAAGGGAGTAAAAGAGGTACAGTATCTCAGGATGTTGAATAACATTTCCTATCCTGAACCATGGAAGTTGGTTGCACAACAACCTAAACAGAGTTAAGCCTCTTTTCCAGTTCCTCAGATGGGGTACAGACTGATATTTCTTTGCCATCAACAAGAATCTTTCTCTTTATATCTGTTTAACATAGGTTGTATCTTTCTCTATAGATCTGGTGGAGAAATCCATCTCTACTCCTGTTTCTTTGCCTGTGTGCAGGTTTGGAATATTAACTGACCTCCATTCATATGGGTTTCATGCCTATTTACTCATTTTTTCCATAGTTGTTTTTCAAAGAAGTTATTTTGGGTACTTGTTGGATCAACACTATCCCGATCTTTCGGGATATATCAAGGTTATGTCTTGAGTTTCATGCTTTTATACAAAGATCTTTAACCCTCTTGCTACAGATATCTTTTGCTGTGAATGTCATAAGGTTTTAGTGAATTACATTCAAAACTTAATTAAATCACTTTCTTATCATGGTATACGAATAATTGTAGGATAAATCTTAGCTAATCCAAATTTTAATAGTATGTAAGTTTTACATTTTTTAATTTTATATGGCAATATTTAAAAAAATCCAGAATTTCCCCTTGTACAAGAATTGTGACATTTTTTTCTCAAGGCATCTTCTCTTAATTTATTTACCACCCCTTCAAGAATTATAAAATTTAATGTAAGTTATTCATTATAATGTTGTCATTGCAAAGGAAAAGCATAATTTTCATAGCCTTCGATCTTATTTAGTTACTGAGCAATAAAATAGAAAATCAAACCCCTTTTGCCACATCCTCTCTTTAAGAAATTGCCAGTAGTTCTCTCTGACATTTAACACTTTTACGCCTCCAGTCGTTAGTTGATTAATTTTCTGTAACTTCGTTCCGACGAAGCTTTAGCGACACAAGTCCTTACTTAATAAAACTGGTTTATTCTTTCTGAATATAACTTTACGATACACTTAATTTCAACATTCGCGCTAAAACAAACGCTATAACGAACGTTAACTTCAACAATACTCTCTGACTGCAGATCAATTACTCACTACCTACACACACTGTCACGTCACGCCATGACCATCTTATATATACCAGACCACCCCCAATCTAGCAAATGCTAGAGCACTCCCGAAGGAACAGGATAGTTCTAGAAAACGGGTGGCGTGACACTAGTCACGTGACCTCGCTGACGCAACAATACTATATTATTTATAACCAATAGAAAGCCAAGGTTTAAACCCTTTGAGTGCATAATTAAATTACGGTCAGGTTCTTGAAAAATGTCAATTATCCATTAACAAATGAAATCTAGAATGTGACTTTCTTTAGTTCTTTTTCAATATCAAAATCCACTATTTGTGCTTTTGCTTGGTGATGTACGCATGTGTGGTACTAAGGTGGGAAATTCAAGGATATGTGAGTATCCCAATGATCACACTATGAGGAAAAGTTTTTGTGACATTGTGGGGTAAATCTGCTTGTTGCACGAAACAGCTATAAATGTCAAGTCTGATAAATCTGATTATAACATCCAAAGGGTTATTCTATCAAATGATATACAGTTCAACAGGCTCTGTAGAAATGAGGTGTTCCATAAGACCACGTAAGAGCTCACCAGGTGGTATTACCTTGCTATGTTGGATCGCCACTCATGGACTATCATGAGTAAAGCTAAAGGGGATCCAGCCCATCCTTGCTGATCATCGGATTGAATAAATCAGGGTCACTTTGCTTTTAAACATTTAGGGAACTTGGTTCACCTATTGCACTGTTTCCAGAGCACTGTTTCTCAGGGCTCCTTAATGCACATTACTCCCCAGATTCTACTAGTGGAGTTAAGGGGCCCTTTCCACACACAATTTCCAGTCACTGGGGTGGTGGACAGAGGCTTTTCCTCCAGAGTGTTAGAGCAAATTCCACTACTCTTGGAGAAGAGGGCAAAGTTAGGGGCCCTCCTACCCGAGTCCCTGGATGTTTTTTCTCAGATGTCGGTAGGAGTGTTGCCAAACTGCTCGGGAGCTACTCGTAATATTGGTTCAGAGTTGATGTTCCGCTATCTCGTTTGTGTGTGCATAGCCCTTCTTTTTGATTGATGTCAGTTCAGTATATTGTTCATGGAAGGAGGTCCACTATCTCCTCATAATTCTGAATGCGGAGTGGTCCCATCTTGGGTCTTTGGTTGAGCACAGTTGTTCCACGTCCTCCCCATAATTCTGGGGGCAAGTGGAAGGCTCCTGATTGGGAAGTGAGGATGGGTTTTCATAATTCCAGACTGGATGAGTTCTGTTCTTTTGGTTGAGTAAGGCATACATGATCCCAACCTTCCAAGCCTGGGGTGTTACCTTTTGGGCTTCTTCAGGGGGAGGAGAAGGTTTGTCTGCTTTAGTGTTGCTTATTTTATCATTTTGACTCTGATGGTTCAGAACACATCACTCTATGGCTACAGGTTGGAATCCAATAAAAAGTATATCTATATATAACTTTGCCATCCAATTGCCCTGTCCACCAATGTGGGATGTAAAGACCAAGACCCCTTAATTCCAACCCTGAGTAATGAAACCTCAGCTATCTGGTTGGGGCTTGCCTGTTGTGATGATCACTCATATACGGTTCCACCCATGGTACAGGAATTAAGTTCAGGGTATAGGGCATACATGTTATGGATGTAGTGTGGTTACCTCACTCTGGTATCACTTTTATCTTGGTACACCCATTATCTGTGCAGATGCTTTCTGTATGGAAAATGCCCTAACCAACTCCACCTTCCCAACAGAGGTATGTATGTTTTGGAAGTTAATAGTTTCCTAAATTGAAAATGTATTTCCAAGCATACCTCCTCTCACACTCTCCAGTCCTTCCTCTCCAGTATCAGTCTCAAAACATTATAAAATTATCTGAATGAGGTGCTTATATACAGTACGAGGATAGAGGGTGCATTGATTTAGGTGGAGAGTGTCATGAGACATATATCGCCAAGGGCAATTGATGGGGGTATAAAAAACTGGAGCAAGCAAGAAAAAATCAGACCAGTGCTTAGATGAGCAAAGATGAAACCTTAGCAGTTGAGTAATAGCTATAAGTGTGAGTGGGGTAAGTATGATTGGAAATTCATTTTCAATTTAGAAAAATTTTAACTTTGATTTGTATAACATAGAAGCTAAGTACTGACAACACTTAGCTCTTTAAAGTATGTAGAATTGGTTAATGTCATTTCTCATCTAGTTCTATTAGATATTCAAAAAAACTGACCCACACTTTACTATCATCTATCTCTGTTCTGTATTCCTGGCCATTTTAGAATCTGAGGGAATGAACTCTCTGGCCAAACTTCCTCCCACTGGTGATATCAATGCTTTGCCTATTTCTTACATATATTATTGATATTTCATCAAAGCAAAGCTTCATATCACTTCACAAGAAATTTTGAGTGAGGAATAAAACAATAAGCCTTTCCATACAAAATTTACAGTCCCTGAGTGGGCATGTTAGAGTTAGACATCCTTCAGTCACATCACATAGTCTGTGTAGTTGGGTTACACCAGTCTTCTTGATGAAAGAGTTAGGCATCCTTCAGTCACATAACATAGTCTGTGTAGTTGGGTTACACCAGTCTTCTTGATGAAAGAGTTAGGCATCCTTCAGTCACATAACATAGTCTGTGTAGTTGGGTTACACCAGTCTTCTTGATGAAAGAGTTAGGCATCCTTCAGTCACATAACATAGTCTGTGTAGTTGGGTTACACCAGTCTTCTTGATGCCAGAGTTAGGCATCCTTCAGTCACATAACATAGTCTGTGTAGCTGGGTTACACCAATCTTTGTGATGCCAGAGTTAGGCATCCTTCAGTCACATAACATAGTCTGTGTAGTTGGGTTACACCAGTCTTCTTGATGATAGAGTTAAGACATCTTTTAGTCATATAATATAGTCTGTGTTGTTGGGCTACTCCGATCTTCTTGATGTTAGAGTTAGACATCCTTCAGTCACATAATATAGTTTTTGTAGTTGAGTTACATGTATATTTTTATGTTAACTTTGTAATAACAAAATAGTAATATCTCCTTTTTGTTTTTGAGTAACTGGAAAATGTTTATTAACCTTATTTGTAATTTGTTAGATATTTTCTGAGGACTGACTTTTTAAATCATGAATGAATGTTATAGAAGTTTATTTGAAATCTAGCATCTTTAAAAGCTGGGTTAGTGATTTGTTCCTTATCTATACATAATATGCACCCATCCTAAGACTGGTAATTGGGGTCCATGTATAAAATAACCTTTTGCAAAGATAATAATTGTAAACCATATGTTAATGTATCTTTTGATTAACTGCTTATGTTAAAACTAATCAGGGAAAAACTTGGATAAGCCATTTATAAAGAATCTAAACTTTGACACAAAAGTACAAGTAACCTACTTGCTTGAGTGTACTAAACTTGAAATACTCAGATCCATCAACTTATTTTACAGTTTAAAAGTTATGTTATTTTAGTGATTACATTACAGTAAACATTTACTTTAAACTTTTGTCTTGCCAAAAAGGGTCTTTGACTAAGTTTTTTTTACGAATAGGAACAGTAGATTCTGTTTTGAGGTAATTCATTTAAAACAAAAGAATGATAAGATTACCTGATATTTCCACAATACCACTAGTTCTTTCATAAAATGTATTCTTAATGTGATTGTGTAAGGCTCCAGTAACAGGGCTAATAGAAGGAAAGTATTTTAATGTACAGAACAGTCCATGTATGATTCTACATATTAGTTTATCTATGTTATGAGAACTTTAAAGATGTTAAGGTTTGAATAAGAACACGTCTATTGATTCTAAATCTGATTGTTATAATGTCTTAATATACGATATTGTACTTATTTTGTTTCAGTATTAAAACAGGAAAGCTGCTTCCAGACACACCATTTCTTCTCTATTCTTGTCTTTCTAAAGGCCAGAAAAAGTTGAATGCTTTTGTTGGACAAGACAGAAACATTGTAGCTGAAGACAGCGTCTACAAACTTGGGATAGAAGGTCAGATAAAAGACAAAAGCATCACTATGAATAGTGACAATAAGAATCAAGAAATCAGAAATGGGAATGTAATGGATGATCGTGCTCAGGATCAGAATCGTGTTAATGAACACGAGGTCCAAAAAAAAGTCAATGATAACACTTTGAAATCAGACGGTGAGTTCATAAAATCTACAGATGAGGCTAGAAAAAGCAATATGAAATCATCACCACGAACAAGAACAGCATCCAAGGACTCTGTTAATGTTTCTTTCTCTCAGTTAAGAGGTTCTACAGGTCATGACCAAACAACAGTGAAGTCATCCCTCCGAGCTGGAGAACCCAACTTTCTCTCTGAGTTTTACAGCCATTCTCGTCTCCATCATATTTCTACTGCTGGTGCAGAATTTAAACAGTATGTAGCTGATCTTCATCGAAAAAACAGTGGTAACTTCCCTGGAAGAAATAAACTTTTAAAGTGGAAGAAATCTCAGCAAGGAGGATGTCCTACTTCCAATGCTGAAATAACAGGACTGGAGAACCCAAAAAGCACACAAATCATAAGTGGTGAACGAAAAGAGAGAACTATAATGCACATTGACATGGATTGTTTCTTTGTTTCTGTTGGGCTTCGTAGTAGGCCAGACCTTATCGGTAAGGTTGTGCATATCCTGGTGAGATAAGTACAGGTTTCTTTAAACTATGATATTGACAACGTTTTGTTGTTAGGCACAAAGTTTCCTAAAGTAATTGGGTTACTAGACTTTTTGTTGTTGTTTAAACCTGAGAACTGAAACAAAGCTCTTTCAGAAGTCATTGCTATTTCTAGTCCTACATCTTTATCATAAATTGTAATATTTTTGTGGACAAAGGAAATGTATCTTGTACTGAAACAGAACCGTAATTATGCATAAATTATGACCGAGATTTTAAAGAATCAAAACAGTATAATTATTAAAATTCTGTTTCAGTTCAAGATATCTTTACTAAATTTACAGACCTGTAGCTACATATTGTAGTAGGAAAATGTTCACAGCTAATTGTCTAATGTTTTAACTTTCTCCAGACAGACCTGTAGCTGTAATATACTCCAGTGGAATTTAGCTGTGAACATTTTGTCTAATGTTTTAACTTTCTCCAGACAGACCTGTAGCTGTAACATATTGTAGTGGAATTCAGTTGTGAACATTTTGTCTGATGTTTTATCTTTACTCCAGACAGACCTGTAGCTGTAACATATTGTAGTGGAATTCAGTTGTGAACATTTTGTCTGATGTTTTATCTTTCTCCA